TTTCTAGGAAATGATATTTCCAGGAAAATGTCTTTGCTATTTCTTTTTTCTTCACGTTTATTTATTTTCGCATTAAAATGATAGGAAGAGAGCAAAAATGCTGTTATCACCGTTTACAGAATTTAGGGCACAAAAAGGATACTAAAAATTATTTTAGTTAAGGTAAGTTAAGTTAAATACTCTTGCAAAACAATAATTCTACTATCCAAAGTTGTATACTTAATCTACATCGGGTGGTCTAGTGGTTCTAGTTAGTTTCAAAATTGAAAAATCGAAATCGAAAGAAATGAGCTACCTAAAGAAGTGGTTCTATATATAAAAACATTATATTTCCGAAGTTCAATTGCTTTTTCTGATAACGCATTCTAAAAACATAGAGTAAAATACAAATATTTTTTTAATAAGTCATCAAATAACTGCTGTACTTACATAAAATTTTAAAATTTCATTTGTTAAATTAGTTCTCACCTTAAAGGTAATACGAGAATAGAATGTTATGCAACAAGTACGGTAAACGGCCTTTCCGTCATGAGTTTATTTGGAAAGAGCGGAGCGCAGCGCAGCGAGTATTTAATAAACGAGTGTCTTACAAAGCTTACCAGTTGTTGCATACTATACCTTTTCTACGACCGTTAGTGTTTGGGTACACTTTTGCAAAACAACATGAATACCTTCAATGACATGCCGGTCAGAATTGACTTCAAAATTCGAGCAGTGAGGTAATATGCCGGAAATATCCGTTGGACAAGAAATTCACGTGGTAAAGTGACGCTTTTTGCAAACTAGTACGGTGTATAATTAGGTATTTTACAGAAGAGAGTAGAACAAGTCCTTTTGTTTTATGTTCCAGTACATTTAAATGTCTACTAGCAAAAAAGTTTTAGTGTACTTATTTTTTTCCCGTCTAAATTAAGGTTACAATTATCTACATGTATTGATCCAATTTAGTATTTTCAAAAGGTAAGTGAATTTTAATTTTGTTATGGGTTAGCTTGTAATTCATTAAATCGTTCACTGGGAGAAAAACATGCCATGATTAGTGTGTTATTAGTCGATTTTGTCGGGTGTAATTTAGTGTGACTTTAATAACATGGTTTTAATACGGTAATGATCGGCATTCTTACCTTACGTTTCAGATTTGGCGGTGAAATATACATTTTCCACGATCTGTTCCCTGAAAGAGAAATCCGTTGCTCCACTATTCTGTTTGCCGACTTGAGGGCTAGACGTTCAGGCGACTGTTTCCTGGTGCGCTTCCAATGCTGACGAAAATATTTCCGAGCAAGCAATTTATTGCTCAAACATAGGTCTGATTATCATCGTCGAAAATATTTACAACCGTCGTAAAATAAATCACATAAATTTTAATATTTTCATATATAACAGGTTCATTTTACAATATTTCAAAGTGCCTTGAGTGAAATGCGCGATGATGAATATAACAGTGTAAAAAAGTAGTTTAAAAAAACGATATTTATAAAAAAAATCATAACCCGTATTTATATTATAATAATTAGAACAGTTGGCAAAGGGAGTCATTTTGAATTGAAACAAAAATCTTATAAACACCTACAATACGACTAATAGTCAATTGGTAAAATAAGTAATTTTGCTGCTAACTTCACTCAAACATTATTAAGTATTCCTAGATGGGTAATCCGTCATCGCAAGTTAATTTAACAAATGCCAATGAAAGGCTTTCTTAAAACAACTATACCTGTTGTCATTCGATCAAAGCAATTAAAAAGGGTTATAATAAAAAATGTCCAACAATTTTTTTTTTAAATTAATGTAACTTAGACCTAAATGAACGAGAATATTACCAACATTAGATTTAAACCGTTAAACGTCCCCATTTTTCTCGTTTTTAGTTTTAAAATTATGAATTTTCTTCATACGCCCATTGCCGTGTCATGCGTTTTTATATTAGTCCAACAACCATAATAATAATAATAATAAATAAAAATAATAAAAGAAGATTGTTTGTATACTTAGACAATTACACATGTTACGAAATTAACGGGCAAACTAGTCTAGTCTCACCATTAAATCCGACAAAAATGATTTAAAACTGACTGACACTTTTGGGCTAGGTGGTTACCAAAAAGCAAGAGATTACCAAAAGATTGAAAAGCATTTTTGCTTCGTGGAAGATTTGCCTAGTCTTAGTAGCCTCGTAAGTCATTTAACCCGTTACTGGGATCCGTCTTTTAGTAACATTGTTAGCTCAGCATAGCCGGTAACACACAGTTTTCCATTGGGCATGTCAGCAGCGTCTCTTAGAGGTAAAGAACTTGTTCGACCCATCAAATAAGTTTTATCGATTCGAATTACTCAAACAAACGCAACCATAACATAGACATTTGCCATACCTGCGCAAATAGATGTGACGTCATTTTTCCCTTTTAGAATTTCTAAAATTGTTGACATATACAGGTTCTTTTATAATAAGAGGGTTTTCCTTATTTGTAATAAAACTGCTTTACATATGTTGTTGATTGTTTGATAGAGGCCTACATTGCATGGGAAAAAAATTGACACTGAATATTTGTATGGGAAATATTGTTACGAAACTGTTTTTTTTGTTCAATGTGCATATCGCTAGAGGCTTGTGATTTTAAAAAGGGTCCAAGGAAAATATTTTACCAACCAAACCATCAAGTACATATGAAATAGGCTTTACGAACTTGAAAACAACCATTCAACAACAACAACTCAGACAAAACGATCCAATCGATTCTAAACTGACACACTAATACTTAAATAAAAATTTTGGAAACTCTTTGTCTTGCAACACAAAGTCAAGAGCTAATTTTTATTACGAAATAAACCAAGATTTTAAAAAATAATTTTGAAAAAAACGGTACTTTAGTGTACTTTTTCGATAGAAATATTTAGCGTCATGCTTACTTCCACGCCGCTGGTAAATATTGAATAGTATATAAAAATAAAGCGAACGCGGATCTACACCGATCTAAACTTTTTTTCTTAAAGTTATCCATAGAATCACACCCTTATGGAACAGCATCTTATTCTGAAACACCCAGTATAGTAGAGGATAGATTTAAAATAATAAGATAAGCTGTATCAACTATTTTAGTTTTAGAAATGTCAAAAAGGAAGGGGGCGCTAGTGGTTGGTTTCTGAACTCAAACGAGTTAGCATCTAATTTTTTTCTGCTGTCATATACTACAAACATTTCATAACTATGTCTATAACAGTGAAATATGAGTTTTTTCAGATTTCCGTTTATTTCAGTTGCTGATTCCCCTGTGACCGCCACGAGCAGTGAAATATTCGCGTCTTTCTTCGTCGAAACCGAAACTTCAGTCATTGTTAAAGCGGAGAACAAAGTGGAAATTTTTCAGTTGCCCGGCACAAAACGTGTCGGCGTACGCCGGCCTTTATCCTTTAAATGAAATGGACCCAACGTTATTGAATTTTTTCGAACTAAATAAACAATGATGGTGGGGTTTTAGGGGTTGTTTTCGGTGACAGAAAACACGTAGCGAGGAATATAAAAACAAACACCACGTTTAGAACTTTTTATTCTTAAATATAGTACATTAAAGGTAGGTTAAAAATGAATAGAATTTTTTATATTAAATTCTATATATGGATGAAGTTGAATCGAGAATATTAACATTGAATAATTTTTCCATATTACAGCAAATTTACATAATACGCTATTTAATATTTACACCCATTCTACTATTTACTCAAATGAGTTGAGTTAATATTTTCTTTGGTAAATTATTTACAGGGTGGCTCGACAACAATTTGAATGAGGAAACGTTTTGCCATTCCGTGCAAAGTGGCAGAATTAACTTAATGGTAGATTAACCGTACCGATTAAGAACATCATATTCATGCCGTTCGTTGACCTCCTTCAACAAGTGTTTTACATTTTTGAGCACCGGATATATTGAAACATAATTTTTAGACTAATTAATTTTTCTATCAAATATAAATCGTCATTAGCATCGTAAAAGTATATAACACAATCAACAATTTTTTTTTGGCGCAACTCCAAGCCAATCTACAGTTTTCAATCACAGGATTAATTAATTTATTACTAAATAAAAGCTAAAATTACTTTCGTTAAATTAATGGCGATTTGTTAAGGGCCTTGTGGTAAAAAAAATTCGCTGGGATTGCGGATTTTCATTTCATAAAACTAAAATCGCCAAATCCAAAAAATCCAAGGAAAATATTTGCCTCTACATCTATCTATTTGTCGTCAGAGTGAAGAGATCTGTTCAATATTTCTTCGTTTGCATGTTTAAATAATGCCGCTAAATAACTCTGACCACAAATCTAGGCGAAAGTAATATTAGAAATTACAATGAATTAACACGACAACTGACGTTTGAAAAACTGCGTAAACGGATTTGTATCAAATATGATATATTCCACTGCTTTTGGACGCGAAACTGTACACGGTGTCCGAGAATAAAGTCGACATAAGTTGAGATGTACTTTTAGGGATCAAGGTAATAACAACTTCATGAACATGCCCCGATACAGGCCCATTAAAAGTAACTCCTATAGAGACAGCGCACAAATTTTTTGCAATAATATTGGAATTTTGAAATTTGTGCGGAATGCTTGCAAGTACCCAAGCAGTTTTGTGACGCCATTTTGCATTTGCCTTCTACCGAATCAAGAGTACGTTTTTTGGTTAAATTTAGTAATTTGTTTTTAAACTTTCAACAATATTACGTAGAAAAAAATTAACGCAATGTTTACCCCAGATACCCCTTCTACGCGCCGATTATCTTTAGTCGTAAACCAATAGGCGTGTTTTTCTGGCATTTCAACGTATTTAAGCAACCGACATTTTTACGCCTTGAATGTGAAAAATTATCTCAGAATTCCATTTTTAAAATACTCTAGCCGCTAGTAAGGATTTTTTGTGGCTTGTCTCTATGAACCATTTTTATTTTGACCTCTAACCCCAAAATATTTAGGACTTATCTTGGGACACCGTGTAAAATTAATTGACCTCTAACCCCAAAATATTTAGGACTTATCTTGGGACACCGTGTAAAATTAATTATTCATGCCAAGTTATATAATATTAGCAAAAATGTTTTAAATTTGTTACCCATATTCTCGTTCAGCGAACATGAATTAAATAATTTATTTCGCAAAATCATTGGTTAATCTATAAGACTCGCTGAGTGTGTTTCACTGCCTGTATTCCTATTGGTTGGCTAATATTTTTCTTAACAACACATTTAATTAAATTAAATAAATCTAGTTAGCGGCATGAAATACTTGGTGACAGTAATATTTGATTCAGACTAGGTTCAAGGCGCTGATAGATTGTTAACGAACTAAAAATAGGCCGTAATTCCATTTCTAGGCCGGAAATTAGCGATTTTTCACCCCACTGTAATTGTAAAAATGGGAAAATGAAAAATTATTGATATGATGTGGTGATATAGTTATGTTATTGATATGAAAAATTAACAAAAACAATACAACGCGTAACGAATTACTGCAAAATTAGTTATTTTCTCCATTACTCTGATTACTTATTGGAATTGACATATTCACCGTTATAAAGGACATCGATGAAAAAGCAAAATGCAACACGACAAATTATACCCATCTATTAAATCTAAAAGAATGATTGTATCTTATAGTAGAAGAAGCCTTTTATTTACACAGAATACAAAAAATAATATATATATATAGGCCTATTCCTAAGGACGCAGCAAGCCGAAGACGTGCATTTACTGGAAAAATATCGGAAGGAATTATTATTTTGCTACAAGCGGATTTCGGTCTTCAGCTCATGCGTTCGTCTTGCCATGGATTGGAGAATTACAGACACCACAGCGACAATTAAAAAGTTTAGCGACGTGCGTAAATGAGGAAGGTGGTTTTCATAAATATTTAAACACGTTGCGCGTTTTATACGTCTCCAGTATCCAGAGGATGCCTAATATTGTGGCAATTTCAAATTCCACGGCGAATGGATGTCTAATAAATTAGTAATGTTTAAATCGGCTTAATGTAGGCTAAATTTGTTCGTGAAAGATGCATGACACATTGAAACCTTCGTTACACAGAAATCCGATTTTCATTAGCTTGACCTCAACGGTTTTAATTTCACCTTGGCATAAATTGGATTGTGTTTACGGTGTGACCCTCTTAATCTAGAAGCGCTCCTTTAAAATATATTTTCAACCGTTCTGGAGTCCCTTTTATTATATTAAGCCTCAAACAACACTTTCATAACTTCAATATTATTTTAAAAGCCGTACTCTACCACCCACTTGCACCTAAAAATTTAATTCTTTTGCAAAAAATTTCAAGTATTTCCTCACCCAATTTTTACTGAAATGTTCCAAAAAAAATTTTTTGTCATAGTTATGGATTTTTGTTTTTATTGAATTATTTTGTATTGTAAAAAAAGTGCCTTAAAAACAAAAAATTATGCTTATTAAATAAAACAGAAAAAATTCTTTTTAAAACGATTCAAGAATACAGAAGTCACTTAAAAATTATCAATATTTTGAAATGACACCAAGGACTAACCAAATTATCAAAACCATTCGAAAAAAAAACAAAAATATGTCCCTCAGAGCATTTCTGCCTGAATATTATTTGTGTGGGCTCCCAAAATTCTTCGATACTATTCAATTGCGCCAATCATCAGTTACGTACGCCGCTATATAGCGAAAAAATTCTCACCCGATATGAAATGTAGGTGAACTGAATATGCCTTATGGATTCATGGTTGGTTGTTAACGACTCGTTCTATACTAATTATCATCTGCAAGAAAAATAACCTGTTTGCATTACCGACGCTTTTATTCCCCATAAACAAATATGACCTCTGCACGTTATATACATTAAATACAAATACATTATAATCCAACAATCGATAGCTATAAATAAATAATATATGGAGCGATTTTGAGAAATAACACAAACTTTTGGCTCGCCACGTTTCAAATATGGCAAACATTTCGCCTATGTACAAGAGGCTATTGATATTTTGAGCGTTATTACAGATTCAATATATAGTGAAAAAATTGATATTATTTTTTAGAAAATTGACCACTACGTAAATAATATAATGTTCTAAAAAATATTTTAGTTTTCAAATAAAATATGGCCTTAGCTGTACCAAATTTTAAAATGTTTTCTGCTCGAATAGTAACTAAAATTTAACGCCCACAAGGTGTGAGTTGTACGAGAAAGTATAACTATTAGGTTCACAAAATCAAACATAGTGCTACAGACACCATAGATATTACTCGGAAAAACAAACCCACGAATAATGGCAAGGAAATCCGGAAAACTGAAAATTGGAAAGACTGGCTTTGTGTCGAACTTTCCTAAAATGTAATAGCGGATAACTTCGCTACTGTTCGGAAGTAGACGTCTTCAAACGACCAAGCCGGATGTTTTCTATGATTTGATTCGATGAATCTGGATCGGGTTAAAGAAGGATATTAAATCTGATTGCCAGTTTCGTTATACCAGAGGGTTCGCGAAGATAGCTATAATTCGAAGTTTATAACAACTTCAGTGAATAAATGGATATGGTACTGTGGAATCTGCCGTTACAAATTTGTTTAGTTGAAGTAGGTCAGAGCCAAGTAGCCATAATAAAAATCGGATTCCGAATTAGTACGCTTTGAATTATCTGAATTTCATTTCGACGACCTACGATTTAAAATCGATATTTACAGATATGGAAATATCGCGGATTTTACTTCCACGATGCTTGTGTTTAATTTCAAGAAAAAGATCATGCTTACCACACTTAACATATATCCCATGTGAACATGTTGCAACAGGGCTGAGGTCCTTTAAAAAATCCTACTAAGGAACACCCATGAGAACGTTAGCAACGCCGTCAGTGAGATCGTAGAAGCTTTTGAAACACCTGAAACACAAAGAAAACCGAAATTGAGTGAACAGGTTGATGTTTTTGTTTTCGTTTCATACAATTTACTCGGGAAGAAAAAATTAATGATTATTTAAATTGAACCGACTGCACCCGGTATTTTGAATAAGTAATCGACAAAGTCAAACCCTGCGAAATGGAATAAATAAATTTTCTACAGTGCACCCGGAAACGGGGTACTAAAAAATTTACGACTGTGCAGGTCGATGAAATATTTTACCGGGAACGAGGCAAAGTAAAGTAAAAAGCTCGCTCAGTATACGGGACAGAGTGAGAAACGACATGCCAAATAAGTTCCGGATTTTCCAACACCATGAGGATAATTGTACGGGCATTAAATAATGAAAGCATATACAAAAACATTTCGAAAAAACTGATAAATGTTGCAATGCAAAAAAGTAACCTTGATTACTATGTATATTCCTACATATTTTTCGTATACCTATATTATATATATATATATATATATATATATATATATATATATATATATATATATATATATATATATATATATATATATATATATATATATATATATATATATATAGTGTTCGAAGTGTTTTCGGAGCGCGAGCATTGAAGATGCCAAGTGAGATTTTGGCGAAACGTCTGCAGGATTCCAGTCGGATGCAGGATTTGCAGGATTCCAGTCGGATGCAGGATTCCAGTCGGAGTTCAACGAGCGAACGGATGATATCCCGGAGTATAGTGTCATCATATATATATATATATATATATATATATATATATATATATATATATATATATATATATATATATATATATATATATATATATATATATATATATATATATATATAATTTAATTGACTTGTGTTTGAAAAGTGACAATTGAGGATTGCTCGCGTGTCACAGTAAAGTTACGCGGAACATTAAAGCACTGTACTTTCTATAATCATATTAATGAGTAGTATTTTGTCTTTCTGTAAATATAACATGTACGATGCGTTCAATTTATCTTGATAACATTTTAATTGGGTGTAACTTTTTTGTTCTTAGAGATGTTAAGGTAAACAAAAAAACAAAATTTAGGATTAGTAGCCAAGCCAAGTGAGGTACAAAACAAAACACTATAAATTTTCTGACATATAAGTCTATATCATATTTTTTTAAATGGAACACCCTGTATACTATATATGTGTTTAATAGAATATCTCAATCCGATTACAATGATGTAACACACTTTATATTTTAGTCCACTAGTTTTTGACAAAATGGCAAAAATAGGACATTTTTATATAATTTCAAGAATAATTATTTACAAATTAAAGTAGAACAAAATCACTAAATATGGCAAGATACACTGATTGTTGCCTCTGAAATCATTTGCCGGAGTTCCACGACGTTATTACAAGGAGTTCTGTGCACGTGATTTCTTATGTGTCTCCAAAATGAAGAATCCATTAAAGTTAAGCCGGGGCTGTTGGCTGGCCAATCCATAGTTTCGCCATTCCCTATCCAAGCCCTGGGATATTTCAGGTTAATAAAATTTTTAACTTGCACAACATTGCGAGGAGAGGCACCGTCTATATAATCAGCGCTGATATATTTACGGGTAAATCTTCTATGTATTTCTCTATTTGGTGCTCCAAGAGTTGCAAATAACGATCTCCAGTTTATTTTTGATCTATGGATATCGGACCCAAAATATGCCCATTTTTGACACCACACCAGACATTAACTGATTGTTCCCCTTGGGTTTTTATTTCCTGTAATTGTCTAGGATTATTTAAAGAGCAATATCGCGTATTTTGTTTATTTCAACCCTTTCTTGTAGTAAACGAACTTTCATAAGTCCATAAAATGTTTTTCAGAAAATTATTATTCTCATTATGTCTATTTAAAAAATCCAAACAAAACTGCATCCTCCTTTGACATTGTTTCGCACTTAGTTTTTGAGTTTTACGAAATTTAAATGCATTATATTTACATTCTTTCAAAACTAAGTGAATTGATACCCTAGAGATACATGTCTATATATTCTAGTAATAGAGGAAACTGGATGAGCTTCATAGAATGGTTGCCTTATTTTCTTCATTTAAAATATTATGATTACGGTATACCTTTTTAGCATTTAATACTGTTTTCTGCAAATTCCTTAGCCACCCTTAGAAATATCTGTGTTGAAGGAGCTCGGCGTTCTGGATAAAATCTCCATTTGCGTCTGCGGTTGCATTTTTATTATTCAGAAAGTATACTTGAAGCATATCACTCCTTTAACGAATAATGACTTGGACAATAATTCAACCATCGACGTTGTTCACTAGAATATCAATCATAAACATATTTTTATTTGTCAGTCTGGGCACGCTTTAAAATTATATAAAAATTTCCTCTTTTTGACGATTTGTCAAAAACAAGTGAACTAAAATTAAAGTGTGTTACATCATTATAATCGGAATAGGATATACTATTAATCACATATATAATATACAGGGTGTTCCATTAAAAAATATATGATATAAGCTTATATGTCAAAAAATTGATAGTGTTTTGTTTTATATGTCACTTGGAAAAAAATTTGGGTACTAATCATACATTTTGTTTTCTTGTTTACCTTAATATCTCTAAAAACAAAAAAGTTTCAGTCCATTAAAATGTTATCAAGATAAATTGAACGCACCGTACAATATTTAAAACATTTTAGTTACACGAACTATGCAACCGATAACACGGTTATTATTGGGTTTTTTTTTTGGTAGTAATTGATTAAAACCTAAGCATGAAAATAAATTTTGTTCTTTATGAAAAAATATTCAGAAATTCCAAATTGTCAACGTTGCTTTTCATGTTACACAAATTTGAAATTTCGCGCACGTATCTTGGCATTTTAGCTGTGATGTGCTATTTCTATTGCATATACAGTTTCGCACATATTTTTTTCAATGGCTTCTTTGGTATCCTATAAATACAATAATATTCTTCTGTTATTCGCCTTTCATTGATGGCAAGATAGTCAAGATAATTTTGAAAATAGTTTTGTTACATCACGAAGTGAAGAATTATTCCTATAATGCACATATTTTGGTCAATGACTTTTCTGATTTCATACAAATATTTTAAAATCATGAAATGAACAATTAAAGTGAGTTGATAATAGCGACGTGCTTTTCACGACGTGAACCAAACCCGGGAAAGAGAAATCATACATTAGAATAACCAGATTTGCCTCACAGCGCAAAGCGCGATGTCAAAATTTGTTAATCTTCCTGCGAGGAACATTGTCCTGCTACGCTCTCCTGATACCGTTTCTAGCCCCGCCACTCCTCCAAAATATTTCATCACCCTTGCAGGCCGTAAATTTTTTAGTAGGAGTATACTGCAATGCAGCAAATTTATTTATGACTATTTTTGGCGTATTTCCAACGGTACGTGTATCTCTATCTAAATTTTCTATTGCCTAATTGTTGCGCCGGAGATTTGTTTACATCCTTTTTACAGCTCGCTACTCGCATTCGCCGCTTGCAAACATAATCCAAGCCACGAATACAATTTCAAATTTAAAAATATGGAACCTAATATGAAATAGCGATGGGTCACTATTTCATATTCATTTCACAAGTATGAAATGCAAAATGGGTGTATTAAAAAAATTGATTTATTTATTCACCTTTGAAATTTATCCTTCTGTATGAGAAAATTTCTTTAAAAATATCCAGAGCAGATTCTAAGTATGTTACTTAAGTATTCCCATAAATTTACAAAAATTCTCTAGGGTCCACCAGACGAGTGCAACCTGTTTTATCATAAAAAAAGGTATCATATCCTGACGCTTATTTAAAATTTCTTTGGATATAAGTTGCAGGTAATTTGAATATTTTTTTGCTTATTTATAGACCTTTCCAAGTCTTAGATGTTTGTTTGTTTATGACAGTGACTTGACCATCTGTTTTGTGCAATTCTAAGTAATTTTTTTTAAAAATATTATCATACAGGCACGAAAAGTAGTTAAAGCTTATATATAACAACATTGCGTTTTTGATTGATGATTGACCTTTTTGGTCGTAATTGCAACACTTTTATAATTTTTACATAGAAGACACTAAACAAGGAAAAAAACGAGAAAATGATTGAAGAAAAATTAAGGTCTTTTTAAAAAACATTAAAGAAAACAATTAAAAATGGAAAACGAAAAGTCGTCAACAACATATTTCAGATGACATGAGATGATGATAAGATGAGATGACCTATGAGATGAGCCTTGGGTATCGTGAAATAGTATTATATGCAACAACGCTATTTTGGCTACGAGTTTGATTTGGTACGCGCGGAGCTCGTGCTTGATAAATCTGAAGAGTTTTATCAACGTGTTGCATAGTATACTTTTTGTGGTGTGGCTAAAATCTACCGATTGCTCCCTAAACTACTAGGAAGGTCAGAAGTGGCTCGCGAATATGGATATCGAGACTGATGTCTCAGTGACAGTTTTTGGATACTTGGCTATTTCAGAGTAGAGAGTCGAAAAAATATATTAGGTATGACGATTCGATTAAATACTAGAGACCATGAAAACAGTTTAAAATGCATGACCAGTGTGGCAACATATTGTCAAAAAAGCGTTTACGTAACCATTAGCACGGTCGCACTAACTCCAAAAGTCGACAGTAGTGAAATGTACACTACGAAATAGTTTCAGTGGAATTCCAGTGGAATTATCAGAAATTTCGTGGAACTCCAATGAAATTACGACGAAAATCCGAAGAACTCCAGTGGAATTCCAATCTTTGATTTCATCAGTAGATTTTACCCATAGCATTTTTACATTTGCCAGGTCTGACGGTCAGGTCACATGTGACTCAAATATCTAAGTCACTTTCAAACGTCAGCCTTCTATTCAGTTTCCTGATTGTGGTTTTCGTAGTAATATTTTTTTATATTTTCCTTAAAATACCTAAATACGACTGTTAAAGTTTCCTATATTATTAAAAATAAGTGAGGACAATTTTTGTTGCAAGTCCGTAAAGAATCTTAAAATTCTTACTGTTTTGATTCATTCCTCGATTGGTTTAATGTTGTTTGTCTGGATATATTTAATCAATTCCCCTAAACATTTTAGCGCACGTCCAAACACTAAAACTTGTCTACTGCGATTAAGTCACAAAAAAATAATCGAAGAGACAATCCAAAAAGCGATTGCCAACGGCCAACGGCATTATCGATCTTTCAAGCTTGCACCACTCTCAATCATACACAAATTGCAACGATTCAGTTACTACACGCGTTAGGAAAATTTCGCTCATTAGTAAAATAGAGACAGTTAAAGTTTTGTTAGTTCTCTATGACTCAAGCAGTTTTTAAAATGTCGACATTAAAACTTGGATTTGGGGGTGTTTAGAGAAGGTGAATATAAATTTAATATTGCTTTAGCTGTTCTATATTCTCGCTATTTCATGCCATCTTTCTCATTCGTCAAGGCCCATTACTTTTATTTTAAGATTGTAATGGAGATTGGGATGATTTCTAGATGAAAAAGGTATACTATATTTATTTCCATAAACATACCGTTTTCCAAATACTATTTCTTTTCAATGCACTCATCAACAAAAAAACATCGGCAACAATGCTATGTTACTAACTTTTATTCAAAATTTGATTTGGGCATATACGGGGCACTAAAATGAGCGGCAATTTACTACCGCACATTTTTATTATCAGTTATTATTAATTATACTTATGGTACATAGCCTGAACCAATAAAAGTTCATTGAGAATGAATAGGCTAGGGATTAGAAATGACACTTCGAACACTTCGGAGCGCGAGCATTGAAGATGCCAAGTGAGATTTTGGCGAAACGTCTGCAGGATTCCAGTCGGAGTTCAACAATCGAACGGATGATATCCCGGAATATTGTGTCATCACATTTTTCCATCCGTGAATTCATACGTGAAAAAAAAAATATATATATATCGGCCGAATATTACGGAAACACGACATATCAACCCCATACAAACCTGACCATACCATTGGAGCAATACTAAGAAACCCAAAACAAAAAGTTACTCTGGAAAACTAAGGAGTATACAGTGTAGCATGCGGATCGTGCAGCCTGACGTATGTGGGACAGACCAACAGAAGGATTTCAGCCAGCCAACATCGTTTAGCCACAAAAAACAAACAAACAACATCTGCTTTGTTTCAGCACCAACATCAGACAGGCCATAAAATTGATTTCGGCACTTGCAAACAAATAGCTAATATTCCTGATTTTAGGACTAGGATTATACGAGAGGAGATCGAAATAGAAAAGTCCGGAGACCTCAATAGGAGAGACGACGCTCTGCATTTATCCAACACGTGGAGAACGATAATCAAACAGCAGAGCGATGCGCAGCAGCCAACGGGGACATCGCAACTACGATCGGGCGAAATTAACAACGCGACAATTCAGGGGGCGGAGCCACCTCCCCCCACGCACAAGCAGCACCGTTACCATCTCCGGCGCAGAGTATAAATAACGTTCGCACCGCCGATAACCTCGCAGTGTTCGAAGTGTTTTCGGAGCGCGAGCATTGAAGATGCCAAGTGAGATTTTGGCGAAACGTCTGCAGGATTCTAGTCGGATGCAGGATTTGCAGGATTCCAGTCGGAGTTCAACGAGCGAACGGATGATATCCCGGAATATAGTGTCATCACATTTTTCCATCCGTGAATCAATACGTGAGAATATATATATATATATATATATATATATATATATATATATATATATATATATATATATATATATATATATATATATATATATATATACATTGATTTTTGTTCCTTAATAGTATATTATAATTATTAATGGGTTTAAATACTTAAACAAGAATGGAAAATCATAGGATTTTAAAGGTATTCCGAAGAATTCCAGTGGAATTCCGAGGAATTATAAGTGAGGGTTGAATTTCAGCGAACGCCCGTAACACATAAGCGTAACGTATACACACGTAAGTCATATGAGATCTGACAATAAATATCTTGGTTTTATTTCTATGCTACGGCAAAGAAAGGTGCCCGCACTTTCCTTATAATGTTTTTTCAACTCGTCTAAAATATAAATTTAAACGTTTTGTTACTTCCTCTATCGAATAAACACAGTGTAGAGTCTCTTACCTGAATGTACTCGATCCGCCCTCGAGCTGGAAGGAGCCACGGTCCCTCTGCTTTCGAGAACCATCCCCTTTTGCGGTCTTTCTCCTTCTATGCTTTCTTCGTTGCTCACTAAATATACCGTCGCAATCGTAGCCAAACACTTTAGCTTCATGTTGCCCCTTTTGAAATGCTTCGGTCGTGCCACAAACTCCAGACCTGGGGATTAATATAAAAATGCAAATATCGATAATTTTATTTATAAAAAATAAACGCGAAACTCCCATTTCAAAGTCGAATAGTTGGTTTTCGCCGGCTATTTATTATAAACAAAAAGAAAAACATGCGTTAATTGAACTAGTGAATTTTGTCGAATATTTTGTTAAAAGCAGTCCCGATGTAGAATTGAACAAAAAAAATGATTGTTGAGTTTATCGGATAAACGTATCTACATCACCGTGATATTCAATTAGCTAGTTTATACACAGCATTCGCATAATACCGCCGACAGCTATCAGATCAATCCTGTGTGTTTATTTAATTGAAAGTGTATTGGTTTGCAATGATTGTGTGACTACGTCAAGCAACTTTATTCGCAGACATGCTGATTTATTTTCGATGAGACACGTTGATGTATAGTCTGTCTCATTCTTCATCGTACTGGCTTTTGGCCGCAGTTATGAGAGTTACCTGCCGACGGCAATAAAACTCGGGTCCGGTAGGTATTACAGGATCCAACATTAGGTAATAATATAATTTTTGTTTGTTTGTTTAGGTGGGAATTATCTTATTAAATTACACTATGTATACAATAAATTCATAGCTATACATAGTTCCGTTTTTATTCTAAATGTCTAAATCTAATTCTGTTTGTCATTGAGATTAATTATAATAGGATTTATGTTGTTTTGCACAAAAATGTAAGAGTCCTCAATGTTTATAATGTGTCGTACTGAATTTTTCCAGCTCTCAATTGGTATGTTATTAATTACATGTTTCTACTCCACTTTACCGCGTCAGTTTTATTTTCCGGGATTTTACCGCACGTGTTTGGGAGCAATCGGATGTTTTGGAGATATTTCCAAAGCTTTGAATTTTGACGTTTGTCAATTCTGACGGTCATGTCAGTGAATGTATTTGTGGTGTTTTGCGAAAATGTACCCAAAAACTAACGGTCGTAGAAAAAATATAGTACGCAACACGTTCGGAAAATTTTTAACTCACTCATTTATTAAAAATTCCGCTCCGCTGCGCTCCGCTTGTGTCAAATAAACTAGTGAGTCAAATTCCGTTTACCGCACTTGTATCCTCATAAAATCCATAATATTCTTTGCACACAACAGCAAGCAGTTTGGGAAGAATCCGTCTTCTGACCAAGCGTGTATTATGATGATGAGTTTTCCTTTAGTTGAAGGTGCTTTCGTCTGACAGTTTTGAGTGTCGTGTGTATCGAACCATATTTCATCAAGGTAAATTATGTATCTGTTGTCTAATCTATATCTTTCAATTTCTTGTAGATTTTACGGCACTTAAATCCCATTTTACAAACAACTCTATGGAGGGAGGGTGGCGAAGCCTATATTTATATTGGTTTCATCTTCTTCCAGCTTCTTTTTCAGCGTATTCAAGGTAGGAACAACTTCGCTTTGATAAAAGCGATATGTTTTCTTTTTTTTCTTAATGAAACTTCCACAGGCTACTCTAATACCTTTTATAAAACTTCTGGATTTCTCCTGCGTCGGTTTTTGTCGAGTCGAACGTTACCTAGTTTGACTCAAAAACCGACGCAGGAGGAATCCAAAAGTTTTATAAAAAGTACAATATTAGGTCCTGATCAATATTGTCTACACGGTAAGATTGAAAATATCTACGTTTATTGAGTTCCCTTAATTCTCCACTATTAATAATATCCCTTATGGATGATATCAACGTTTTTGTAAGTAGACAGGTTTCTTTTGAAGCTTCTTGTTGAATCACTCCTCTGCTGATTGTTATATTTTCGTAAAATAACTTTTATCAAACGCATAATAAAAACGATTATTCAACAATGCCACAAATGTTCAACACTCAAAAAATGTATCAGAAAGAAATACACCTGGCCCACCCCTGAGTTGTCACTCAAGTAAAAATAAATTTTTTGTCAATGGCTTTACCCATATATCTATTAGAGATATAGAGGCCCTGCCTATGCTAATTGTACAAAAACTCGTCCAGCAATTATGTCACAAAATTTTGAGAAGGTCTGTTAAATATGAGCATGCGCGAGACGTTCGACCCATAAGGCCTTGCGGCTCCCAACAACCAACATGGCCGCTGCCAGGTCGTCAATGTTTGGATACTCCATTTTTACGCCAGTATTTTCTCAAAATATGTCGAAATCCAATTAAATTTTCAGGCAAAAAAGGAATTAAGGTGTAGAAAGTGTTGTTAAAAAAATTAGCGAAAGTTGCAGCAGACGGGTCGGCGTCCTTAGTATAATTCTCTAAGTATTTTGGTTCTTTAAGCGCTATTTGCATAATTTCTTTTTATTAAACTTATTGGATTTATTCAAAATGTAAATAAAGTCGAATTGACGAAATGTGACTCTAAAAGTGAAAATATAACTTTGAGGTACTAGATATCGCACTGGAAACATCTAAGTGGAAAAAATGTTCAACAAGCACCTCGTATAGACAGATCGCTCATTCTTTCATCGCAAGTCTAGTAACTGCAGAAAGTTTCGCCTCCAAAATGTATTATTATGAAAAGTACCAATGCACAATTTCGTTAAAAAACTGTAGGCATTGAAAAATGTAACCAAAAAATTTAAAAACTAGTATAAAACAATAAACAATTAGCTCTAAATGCAACAGAATTAACATTACCAAACGTTGAAGAGGGTAGTTTATTGTCTCCAAATTTAAAAAACATTTTACTATCAAAAAATTCCCGTGAAAAATATTTAACAGCAATTGTTAAATGCTAAAAAGTACATGTAGAAATTGCATTGTGTCTGCCGGGCTTTAAATACACTCAATCAATTCACACAATAATTTACCTATATCTTATTGCCGTCTGGATTGAAATGTAAATAACCATAATTACTTTTCGGAATTTTTTGAAAGTGTTAGCTCACATGAAACATTCTAAAAAGAAAATTGTTGTAATTATAATAGCATTTTATATAGTGTTTTATTAACTCGTTTCGAAGTTCACAGAAGATATAGTTGGAGGATGAACACAATGTGAAAGTATAAATGAATAAATACATGAATTATTTAATAAGGCTTTTATTGAAACGAATAAAGTACATTGTTGCTTATAAACACAATAAGAAATTAAATACAAATAAATGCTGCATTTTTTAATAGCATAATAATATTTATTTTTTATTTGCACAATGGCGTCCGACATAAGATGCTTCAGTGTTACTCATTTCAAGGAACTTTTATATTACTTAATTTAAGAGGATCACCACCTTTAAAAATAGCAAAAAAGAAGATGTAAGCAATAAAAAAAATGTTCATTTTTAATACATTAAATTATTGTTAATTATTAGTAGAATAACTAAAGCAAAAATTTCATTAACTGCAAATTCAAAATAAAATTTACTATTTACTTTACTTGTTGACAATATGTTACTCTGCCTTAAGTTCTTTTTAAAAACTGACCAAAACTGATGAAAGGTGGTTATTCTGTGCCAGGCTTCTCTATAACTTGTAATGTTGTTTTCACTACCACTGAAGATTAAAGATCTGCTGGTGTCTGCTCTAGCAAATAAATTATTATTTTGACTTGTTGGAAATAAAGCCAAACAGAATGACCAGAAAACAAGTAACCTGGTTTACAACTGATCACAATATCTACCTAAAAGACACTGCACTGCCTACATTATCAAGTGTTTACCACCTCTCCTATAGCTTAAATGAGTGATATGGACGTTCTTCTAAAACTTCCTGGCAGTTCCATTTTGGACAAGGAATGTTATCCATTGTTTTCTTATTCCTCTTCTTTTCATCTTTTGCTAAACTAAAAAATAAAAAGTAAATTGGATGACACTACATGGATATAATCACATATATAATATATCAAAACTAGGAAACAGACATATATGCAAATCTACAAAAAAAATGGGATAGAGAAGATGGATCAGCCTCATAACTTTTTCAAAAACTTGTACTAAATAGTTATTCACACAATGCAGATAGGTGATATTTACGAGTCAAGGACATAGCTTACTCTCGAGCTAAGCAAGGGTTGGGAAAATAGTCGGAGAATAATCAAGATCTCTTCTCCCCAAGTTGTGCATATAATATTTTGCCTACTCAAGTTGTTCCGAATCCAACAAGCAGATTTACAAAATCAGCATTCATTGATACAACTATTTCTCTATTTCTATTTAATCAGTGTCAAATTGTGTGTGTACGTGCTGCAGTATTCACTCACCTCCCTCTGTAATTTTTGACCAACCGAAGAGCAGTTTTTTTTTTATAAAGCGTGATGACACACGAAAACTTCCCCACAGTGAGGTTTACAAGGATTTGTAACTGTCAAGAAGTATTCATTGTTATTGTTCTAGTAAAACTTGCAGCTTAATTGTTTTCTTATATTTCCTGAAATTCTTGTACACTAAAACATATTAATTACCCAAACTTCTTTCCTATGAAGCTATTTAAGGGTACCTCGCAGTTTCTTAAATCACTCGGGTCTGTCTAAGATCCTATTAGGCCCTCATACTTGCCACACTTGTTGTAATTTCATAAAGGAGCAAGTATTGAAAGCACAAATTATACAAGTTTTTGAGTGGAAGTCCTATAGAAGCAACTTTTAAATGTTTTAAATTAACTTGTACATAAGGCAACACTTACCTGTATATAGACACATTCTTTTCCTTACGCTTTTGACCACAAACACAGCAACTTTTTCACAAAAACTCGAAAAGGATACGAAGAGAATCATAACTCTCTGGTAATAGCGATTCCTAGCTCAGCGTTGCCACTTATATTCGGATTTCAGAGACTGATTTTACATTCTTATGAAAATTAATTAATTCTTTCAGAAAAATTACGTTCATGTGGCAACTCAGTTATTTGGGGGTGACGCATGCGCAAAAGGTTCACACCTTCTCTACGAGAATATCATAGCCACCTGCGGCGCATCACTTTTTACTGTAGTAGGACCACTGTATTATCTAATAGCTATATGGCTTTACCTAATAACAATAGGTAATTTATTGGGGAGGGTCCGTCGAAAGCCAACATGATGAAGATTGAGGCAGACTATACTGCCACGCGTAGGAGTTGTCATTACCATATTACCGAAAAAGAGACGCACCCAAAATTGATGTTTCCAATCCTTCTCTTCCCGTGACCATAATCTCGGGACCTCGCAGATATTTCGGCTCGGCAGGTTCCCCGTTAATCATCCAATTAAGTTGAGCAACCGGCTTTGATCTACCGGAAGTGCAATTTACGTTAACGGTATCACCAATTTGATATCTCGGCTTGCCCCCGCTGATTTTGGGGCCCTCCTCCGGTAGAGCTGCAACAAAATAACAAATCAGTATTACTTGGAGGATGCATAGGAAGTTAGGATGTCGACCTAAAATGTTATAGATGAGCATCCTCTGAGATGAACTTTATTTCAAGAAAAATGGTGTCTCTGATGTAGGGGAAGGAACATCAAAAATTTGAGGAAAGGCAACCTATCATGCGACTACAAAAGACTTTTATGCTTATTTGAAATTTTAACTGGATTAGATTATACGATATTTAAGAAGAAAGACAATTCTTCAAAAGCTTTAACTAACTACTTTTTATATCTAACCTTTAAAAATAGTGCAAGCGGAAAATCGGCCGAACAGCCGCAAAATGTATGAAAATGAAACGCGAAACGCCCAGGGACAGTTTTCTAGTGGAAGCGAGTGCGCCGAATTATAACCCTTTGTGTTCTTTTAATTAATGTCACAAAAGAGTTTTCGCATGTTTATGCAAATAAAAATCACAAAATCGATTTAGAGCAAAGCCGGTCATTATACATTTTTCTGCAGCACTATTGTTCGTTGACGGACGGTGATAAATTATCAAAGAACTCCAAATGAATTGCAATTAATGTTAAACTAAAACATTCGTTCGTGGCGATGATTCTTTTTCGCCTTTTGTCATCTTTGTTTTCGCAAATTCACGGGAATTTAACTTGTTTCTAGATAAGTGAAAGGTAAGGTAATGGAAATGGAGATAATTCATACGATTCATACGATTACTCGTCAGTTGTAATCATGTTATTGTAATGGGCCATTGGGATTTTTTCTTTTAAATGTGATTTTGAATTTATTTCCATAACGTTGACTTAGATTCAGATTTATTTAACAGTTTCTTTTTATTTTTCAGCGTTGAAATAATGTTTGAGCTGTTCTTGGATTGCTCGTGTTCAATAATAGCAACCTTCCTTAAATTTATGTGTTTTATTCAACGTTTCGATCACAATGCGAATCTTGACCAAGGATCTAAAACACAAGAATATTATATGAATTATAAATAAATAAAAACATTGAAAAAGTCACTAAGGTATGTAAATATTTTTATATAAATATTTGTATGCATTTTTGATTATTGATAATGAATTTTCACATTTATATTGTTTTTCATATTAGCAAAAAAAAGTTAACTTAAAAATTGTTGCATTTGTATCCGACTTCCGATACTAATTTAATGTATGTCAGAGTTGACGTTAGTTCCAGTTAACGATCGAAGAGTTAATCAAATATATATACGAGGCCAGCGCCAAAATTGCTCGGCCTGACAGATGCAGCTCCAATATCACGATATAACTTTTTCTTTAAATTTATATCCTAGTAGGCTGCAAAAAAAAAATTGAAGTCTTGCGTCAAATAGTTTTTTATTGACAGCATTTTAAGCAAGACGTGTCCGAAAAAATGTGGCACACAACGCAAATTAAGTATAGAGCAGTCATAAAGATTATGACATAAGAAAGGTTAGCACCTAAAATTATTAAAGAATGATTGGATGGTGTGTACGGCCAAAGTTCTCCTTCGTATTCTGTAATGCAAGAATGGGAAAAACGTTTTCGAATGGGGCAGGAGTCCGTTGAAGATGATTCAAGAACTGGTCGACCAGTGGAGGTCATAACGGAAGATATTGTTGCCATTGTGGAAGAGATGGTATTGAGCGATCGACGTTTAAAGGTCAAGGAAATTTCAGAAATTACTAGGCTTTCTGATACAAGTGTTCGCGAAACCTGCATGATCATTTAGTTATGCATAAGGTTAGTGCAAGATGGGTTCCTAAAAACCTTTCGGCTATTCAAAAACAACGCCGTGTCGAATGTGCGCTTTCTTTTTTGGAACTCTGTGGGTCGGAACCGAAGCCTGTGATAGAAACTATTGTGACGGGAGGTGAAACTATGGTTTTCTATTATGACCCTCTATCGAAAAAGGAATCAATGGAGTGGCGTCGTAAGGGTGAAGCACCTAAAAAAATTCAGAGTCTGCCAGTCAACAAAAAAGGCGATGGCCGCGATCTTTTAGGATTTTGAAGGAATTCTTTTGATAAATTTTAAAGAAACTAATACCACTGTCAATGATAAATATTACTCAACGTTATTACATAAACTGCGAGACTGCATACGTGTAAAACGTCGAGGAAAACTGAGCAAAGGCGTGCGTCTTTTGCACGATAATGCACCTATCCATACTGCTGGTGATGCACAAGCTGCCATTTTAGAGTGTGGGTTCCAACCGATAGATCATCCTCCCTATAGTCCAGATATGGCCTCTAGCGACTATTATTTGTTTGGATATTTGAAAAAGGACTTAGGCGGACGGCGGTTTAACGACGAAGTTGAGTTTTAGGCTGTTTAAGCTCATTTTGCAGATAAACCAAAAGAATATTTTTTTAAAGGGATTGAGTTGTTAATAAAGAGATGTAATAAGTGTATTGAAGTTAAGGGGGATTATATTGAAAAATAATAAAAAATTGTTACTCTACTTTGTTTCTTTCATATTCAGGCCGGGAAATTTTGGCGCTGCCCTCGTAAGTAGTGGTGCGTTTTGCGAGTGAAATTAAGAACTGAAAGCAACATAAGTATAAATTAGCTCATTGTACTATTTGAAAATATTCTTTATTTATAAGTGATTTATAAATTTTATTTTTTAATAAACAGAATTTCTAACTCAACCTGGTAAAAATTAAAATTAAGTACAATGTTTACAATCTAGGGATAGACAAATGTATAGAAAGTAATAAAAGTTTGAACGAAACTTGAGCTTACGAATGCTGTCAGTTTATTTTCAGTATTGTCGTTTGAATAAAACAAATTAGTACGTACACAATGGGAAAAAGTGTACTTAAGAGGCCTATACATACATATTATATACATTGATAGTTCATAATAACACACCGCACAGATTGAAACCAAATTCAATTCCAACATTTCCTTTAAATCAATTGGAACGAACCTAGACATTAAAATCTATTATTCCGAATCCTAAACCGAACGGAACAGGAATTCAGATCCGTGCCACCCGAATAAAATAAATTTATTTAAATACATATCCCGCTGAAAGGAAGCGGGATCATGTATAGCAGTATTCTAAATCACCGACAAGGCGGACGACCATCCCATTCGCTGTTGAAGTTTATGTATTTCTAAAGACAATATTAACTGGGAAAGAACAGTCTACGTAAATAGGAGAATAGAAATTCATGGTTTAAATAATTTATGGGGGCAATTTTGGTGTGGCGAATTCGGTCTCTTTGGAAATTTTTGATTGAATTTAGGTCTCCAACTCGAAACTGCGACCTAAACGAAAAGATTTGTGGCAAGTGAATTGTGACGCTTTTAGGGATACGACCAATGGTGAATGTCTTCTAATTTGAATAATGGAACGTGAATTTTGAAAGGTCGAAAGCTGACATTTCGATGTTGCTTATTCGGTTGAGTGAGTTTTGAAAACCGCAAGTAAAGTGTGTCTGTCTCTGTCTGATGTTAGATCATTTTTTCATCCCTCATTTGAAGGCTATTTGATTCCTAAAATCTTGCCACTCTTCACTAAATTAAAGTTAAAATTTAATGATTTATTGTAGTGTCAAACCGATTTTTTTTTAATTAAGTGCATTCGTTAATAATTATACAATATTACAGGCAATATTAGATATGACACATATTTTTTGTTAGTTCCTTATAACAATACCGTGATTTTACGCATGTTATTAACAAAATTGACCTATTAGAAAGTATAGTTAATTTATTTTTCTTGTTTATTTAATACACAATCTAGGGTGTTTATCTATAAACTGAAACATTTTAACTGCTTATAAGATGAAGACGAGAAATGATATTGATATGCGGTTTTCACAGAAAAGTTATAGCTTTCTTGATAATGTTTCCAAGTATTAAAATTTACCTGAATTGCAAAGCCTATTAACTCTTCGAAAATATATAAATCGCTTTTCATTGCACTCTTTTTTTTTGAAATTTCCTCTTCATTAATCGATGATTGTAGAAAATTGTATGCTAACTGCCGATAGATTGCTTTAGCATGACCACATTTAAATGAGTTGCACTGAGGTCGCTTTTACTTGATGAAAATCCAATTATATCCACAAATCCACAAATAAGAACTAAAAGTTCAGATTTTCACGAAATTATATATTTTTACATAACAATTGTTTCGACAACACCGTGTCTTTATCAATTGTAATATTTAGAAAATTATATTTATTGGAAGCCATGAAGATTAACAAAATGAGGCATTCAAATGTATTGCTTAACGATCAATTATATTTAAATACCTCTCCTTTATTGAACTTAAATTCTCACAACAACATTAATTAAGGTTTTATGGTCGTTTTTCGGTATATATAGTACCAGGTAGTTTGTAAATATTATATTTGATAAAAACACGGTGTTGTCCAAACAATTTTCATGTAAAAATATATAATTTCCTGAAAATCTGAACTTTCACTTCTTATTTATTGTTGCTTGTTGCTATGAATATAAAGAGTATTTATTCTATATACTAAATAACAATACCATTATATAAGAACAAGCAACAGTAACAACAACCTCGGTAACACTATTTAAATAACTAATTTATGAACTGCTTCGTATGACCCCATTTTACTCGGAACACATTTATGAATATGTTGAAGGTGATTGGTAGCATTTGCGATGTAGGTAATTTGGCTGAAAACGTTTACTATGTAGCTGCACAGTTATTGAGGTTGGATTGTAGCAATGTGTGCCTTTACATATACAAAAATCTGGAATAGTTAGATCGGGAGAATAAGAGGTCCACTTGATTGGATCTGCTCGTTCTACCCTAACTAAAAAATTAATATCTCTTGCACTCTCTTGCTGAAAATAGGCCGTTTCTAAAATTCCTTCCTGGTGAAGTTGCGGATAAAAAAATAATTTTAACATATTGGCTTAAATTCGGCAGTTATCCTTATTTGTGCACCCACTAAGGAGAAATGTTGTCTTTTTTGGAACGTTTTAATGGGTCGGCTTTAAACTTAATT